TGCTACTATCGCAGAAACATTGTACGCGCATCATTTTGCACTTTACCTGAGCGACACTTGACATTTTATCTTCTCTCGAGTGCAGTGGTTCTCAATATGTTAGCGTTATTTTCTGGGTAAGATCAACATTTACGTTTTTATTTTTTTTACGTTATGTGAATAATATAGCAACTTATAGTTGTCAATAAAAAATAATTTGCAAGTTTGCAATCACTAAAATATGTCTATTATTTTGGATTTCAATATAGTTACTGAGTTTTGTTTTTCCATTTGCTGAATTCTAATATAAATACCAGTTTCTAGTTAATTATATCCGTCCTTATTTCTTGAATATACTTTTATTTTGCATTTGAGAATTAATTTCCAGTCTCTTGAATAATAAACTGTACTTTGTGTTTACTTTCTTCAAAAATTATTATGTATCCGTAAATCAAGTAATCGGTCAGTCGGAACTTTTCTAAAAATATAGGGTTCCATGTTTGCTAAGTTTGGTAGATAGTTATGTAAACAGTTTACTGTAGAAAAACATAAATGCCTTTTCTTTTTAACGGTACATAATTTAAAAACAATTTAAAACAAAGCTCAATCATTAGTAGTTTTCAAAAGAAATTAAATCACATAATTTTGGCAATACACTTGTTGCCTCTAATTAAATGCAGGCTTTGCGAAATAAATAGCATATTTTGTATCCATCCAAAGCTTCGTTTTAATAATACAGTCTGTTAAACGTAAACAACATTCTTTTTGTTGCAATTGTTTCAAAAAATTATAATGGAGTTATTCAGATTCAATCGATCTTTAGTCTAGACATTATTATTTTAACATTTACATTTGCAACGCATTGAACTGTGTTACAGTGGCTTGAGATTAAGTGTGTAAGACGTTCTAAGACCATTTTCAAGAGAGCTGTAGGGTCAGTGGGTAAGCGTACTCATCGCGTATATTTTTTACTATAACAAAAATATATTTGTGGATAGAAGTCATTAGTTTGATAAAATCATACTTAAACTAAAATATTAAAGACAGATCTAACGCAACACAAATTTGTTTACAATTTTTATAGCTGGACTCTGTTATAGGAAATAAAATTTCTGAATCTAGTAGACTATGCAGGGCAATAAACTTCCGGCTATAAAAATTATCCAAATGGGGGTCTCTCAATAGAACAGCCTGTATATAGCCCTGCTTTTGTGCTTATATGGGCAATTTTATATCTTTCCAAGATGAATTCGCTTTTTTCCCGATGTCGAGCGAAGTCGTAGTTAATGATGCTTGAGACATTGCTCTGGGTAATATTCGTTTTAAGGTATCGATCTAACTGCGCTTGCATTAAGTTGCAAGCATCATTATCTATATTGAGAAAGAAATATGTCTTGTACGACATATATTACACTTTTTATTACACCACACTACAGATTGGATCCATGAGGACAATGTTGATGAATTTCTTTCAGTCGCTGTGTCATTTATCAAACTATTACCGCTAGTTACCGGAATGTTCCAGCCCAATTTAAAGCGTCTACGTTTAAGAATAAGAAGAGGAAGAAGAAATGGCCGGGAAGAGGAGATTAAGAAGAAGAGATCTGTAATGTGGCTGCTTATTCGGGTTCAAGTTGTTCATTGAAGAACGGCAGGAAGAAATAAAATTCCTAGTTTTTATAGTATAGTATAGTATTGCTTTATGTTTGTTTTGTTTATGACTTTTTCAAAATTCAAACTTAACATCTTTAAAACCAAAGTAGGGAGCTATGACTATATATTTTGATTTCAATCAGTTACAACTGAATTTTCCAAAAAGGTTTTTCTTTTATTCTGTTTTCAATCAATACTTTTTCTCGTTTCAGCTGCATTTTCCAAGAAGGTTTTTCATTTAATTCTGGCCTACTTCTAATCTGTTTTATAATACAATTTTTAGATCAAAAGTTAATAAATCTTTTGGTGTTATGACATCTGGTATATCGAAAAAAGTAATTAAATTAATCATGATCGACATTCTGTTCGGGATTGTTCTATTATTGACGCGATACGAGATGATAAAGCAATATAAACGGCTGTTGTGGAAATGAAGCCTATACCCGAAACATTTTTTTTTTCTTCAGCTTCTCTGACAAAAACCTACCTACCTAATAATCGTTCACTTTCGTGGAGCGTAATATGAGAAATATTCGTTTCATACATTTCTTTTTTTATATAGGGTTTTCGAACGCTTTATTAAAAAATTGTGTAATGATATTTAGAGAAACAATTTAATTTTTTATAGTGATAGGTAAATTTTCTATTATTATTAGTTTTTTTTGTATTTTTTCTGTATCTTAAAATGAATTGAAGTTAGATCGAAAGAAAAAAATTTAAAACTAATGAAAAATCTTCCGTTCTTGCTTCTAAACAGGTCATCACTTTCAACAAAGGTTAACTAGAAATTCAACCACGTTAAATAATTTAAATAATGTCTCAAAAAGCAGAACTCTTTTAAAAACTTTGAAACTTAAGAACATCAAATCCAATGTCACCAACATTTGGTTTCTTGATATACTGCAACTTTTATCTGAATTTTTTCCTTAAAAATCATTGGAGGGTTCGGGTCTCTTTGATACACCTTGTATATTAAACCATTATGTAAAACACAACATTTTTAGAAAAAAAAAATTTAACGACAATGCCAAAAATTATGTTTATATATTTCTAACATTTGTGAGTGGAACTAATTTTATTATTTTAATTAAACTCCTCCTAAGCTTCTTTATTTTTCCTTTACTTTAAAGTATTTGGTACACGTACATAATTTCATTTGGTGAGAATTTTTAGAATTAATTTCAATTATATTAATAGCTTTAAAGTAAAGTAAAACAGTTCCAAATATTTCCGACGTTGAATGTTGTTAACTATATATTTTTTTTCAGTCACGTGGTGGTATTCGCAACTATTAAATTGTTATATAGTTTCTAATACGTAAGACGTACGTATACAGCGTATGCGTATGCGTTGTCATTTAAAAAAAAATATGTCATCGCTGCTGTAAATGGATTATCGAAAAAAAATTTTTTTCCACATAACAAGGTGCCCTGGATCAAATAAAAATCGACGGAACTCACCGTTTTTCGAAAAAAATGGTTTAATGAAAATATGAATTTTATGCAGAACTTTTTTACCACGCTGTATATATTTTTCAGTAGTAGCAAGAATAGAGTCTAGTCTGTATTGTACCTTTAAAGTGTTCAGTTATACATACATGTATTCAATATTCAAAAGCGGAATATTTCAATTTCTACGATTCCAATCCGAGTTTCCAGTTTTGCTGCAAAAACTGTTTTTTTCTATGCTACTGCTATTCAAGATTTACGCTGCTTTCTGAAGTTTAATGAAAATTTCAGACGGAATTTTAGATACCTGTCTATATTAACCCGAAAAGTGAAGATTTAAGTTAAAACTTTCGTATTCCTATTAATCAACACGCCTAAAGTTTGAGAGTGGTAGTAAATTCATAGATTTTAATGTCTTTAACCTATTAAATTTTCATTTCAGCAGGCGGCGTTGAAAGTTTTTCGTCTCCGGGAAATTCTACGACAAAAATAACAGCTGAATTAATTAAAATCTAAAAATATGTACATATTACAAAAAAACTATACTAAAAGTATAGGTGTTAAATATGTTAGTTTTGGTGAAAAAAAGTTCTAAAGTTAAAATCACTAAAAATGGAAACTATACAGGGTGATTCACAACTTATCCAAAGAAATTTGGGAATAGATGCGTCATGAGAAATGGAGTCACTATCGTAAAAAAATTTTTTATAAAGTTTCCGAGAAAACAATTATTGAATGGTACTTTCAAGCATTACATCGCTGAACAACTGTAGTCTCTAGCATCATTCGCAATACGTGTGGAGAGCCACGTGGCCCCAGCGACTCCGAATACTTCAATTCTACAATCGCCGTTGCGATAGTGTTTATCATAGTTTTTTAGTAGGAGTTGACATCGTTTTAATTAATGGTGAAGTAAGGCAATATTTGTGTTAGTACCTACGTAGAAACTGAGTAAGATTTTTTTCTATTTAAATAAATAAGTAAATACTTAAATAAATAAAATTCTTTAGCAACAGACCCTTTATCGAATACGCACGTAGCTCTGAATTCAGATTCGTTTGAACTGTGGACGATTTTTAATTAGTGACAAATCCCTCGGAAGCAATTTAACAAATTTGAACTAGATTGCTGCTAATAGTTGGTGTCAGTATAATTACTTTAATTTGCTTTAAGTCTTGTTAAAATGTTGTTTTGTCGTTATGTCGCCCATGATTCTTGCAAGCTTGGCCGAACCCTTAAACTTTTCGCCACAGTTCTAAATCAGACGATTAGAACACTACCTTTTGGTTCGTTGAACACACATAAATTGGCCTCAGAGCGAGAATAAATGTCTGGGCAGTTTTTTCTAGTATAGAACGAGGCGAGTTGCAGAAGCTCGTAAATAACACAATAAAAAATGTACAATCAGATTTGCGTCTATTAATCGAAATTTTATAAACAATATACGCCGTCTGGTACGGAACGTGTACGAAATAATCAACTATGGAAGTTGAAATCGTGGTGGCCAATAACTGTTGGTGCTGGTTTGCAATTGAAAGTAAACTGGGTAGACGATCGAACGCATAGCTCGGTGATTCCGCAGATTTTGTCTTAGTGGACCTCGCTGACTGGATTCGAAACATTGCTGAAAATAGTCTAGCCGTCAGTGCTACTAGGGACCTATGTATTTTCGACAGCTATTGCCAACTCAAATTGTACAAACTTTTTTTTAATCGTAACTATTCACATAACAGAATTATTCATAGAACTTTTAATAGCAAACGCGTTTCGCTTCATTTCATTGCTTCATCGTGCGGTTTACCTCGTCACCAATGAAGTGACGTCACGCGCGAAACCACGAGGCTTTATAATAATCTAAGTGCCGATGTCTGCGCTTACTCCACAAACGGGACATCATTATAGCAGTCATTTGTTTTTCAGTGTTGCAGAGATCGTGCAGCTCGTCCAACATCCAGGAGGCCGTGGTGTTAAACAACAAATCATCGTCCCCCAGTTCAGAGAACGGCGTGGCGTCACTGAGACAGCACCGGCTGACCCCACCTTGCAGCGCAAAAATTATGACGACGGTGACAAAAAACAACAAGCGCCACAGGAAAGCCGGAGACAAAGCGGAAACCGTGAAAATGTGGCTGATGAAAGGCTTCGTGAAGGTAAGAAAAACTAGATAAGCGCTGCTCTAGGAGAGACCGGAGATGCGGGCATAGTTTTGCACTCTGTCGTCTAATTTGTGGCTGTGTATATCAAACGGAATTATGCCCTGGCGGTTTTTAGATTTGTGCCTCTTGTTGTGGCAATTTTTGCTTAGGAGGATAGTGAAGAAATAGCGTTTTAAATACTGTTCTTGAAATTATTAAAAAATATAAAACATTTTTTACTTATTTACCAAAATAGGCAATTTAAGAATAACGTACAATTCCTAAATACAGTAACGATAGATTGATCTAGTTATTTATGAATTTTGAAAACCCTTCATGTTTGGCCAAAAAAAAGAAAATATTTTTTTTATTATTTATATCCAATAACTAATTCCACCCCAAACGGAACCGCCCCCCTCCTTCTTAGTCAGGATCAAGGTCAATTAGAGGTCAGATTGAGAAAAAGTACATTAAATCAAAGTATCTAGTAGTTTAGGTTTTTTTGGGTCGCTGAGTGCAAATCGGAGGTTAGTTTGTCTATATCAGGCCATTTTAAGGTTGTTTCAAGGTCATCTCAAAGTCAAATTGAGAAAAAGCCGAGCAATCAAGTCCAACCACATATTGTACAGGGTTTTGGCGTCGCTGGGTTAAAATCCGAGGTTAGTTTGACTGTATCAGGTCATTTAAAAGTCGTCTCAAGGTCATTTCAAGGTCAAATTGAAAAACAAGCAATTAAGCGCATGTTAGATAGCGCCTGATTTGCACTCAGCGACCCAAAAAAACCTAAACTCCCAGATACTTTGATTTAATGACCTTTTTCTCAATCTGACCTCTAACTGACCTTGATCCTGATTAGGATTCTTTCTTAAATATTGGCAAAATTAATTTTAACTCCCTGTATACTGAAAACAAACAACAATAGCTGCAGAATTAATAGAACATCATTCATAGAAAAAGACTTTAACTCTCAAAATTAATTAATCGAATAATTTTTTCATTTTATTGGAAATCGAGACCTTGTGTTATATCTACTTAAACTGCTATTCATTTGTTTTCTGCTTATCTCTTATGCCTCAATAAACTGCATAATATACCTTTCGGTACCGTACCTGCATAAAAATCCTTAGTTAATTAAAAAAGATGTTCGTTCTTTTTACAATGCCTAGTAACACGATGCTTTTTGCGATACCCTCCTCTTATAAACAGAAAAAAATGAGAGGTCGTAAACGTAATACCACTTAGATTAACTGACATAAAATATGATGAACAAAACAGAAACGTGATACGTTCAGAAAGCTAATAATCTTGCAGAATATTAGGTACAGGGTGTTTTGGAAAAAATGTACCATAAATTCAAGTGATTCCTTCTTATAAACTTATATAAAGTATCCGAATATGGTATACGGCGAATGTAGACAAAATGCTGCATGCTATTTCGCCAATTCGTCATAGAAAATCTTGAAAAAGGACAACTTGGTACATTGTGCTGGACTGAATATTTCAAAAAAAGTAGACCGCTTCTAACTGATGAAATCGTACCACATGAGGAAAAAGTTTAATGGAAACACAGTTAAAAAATAATTGGCTTTGCGGGTGCGGTAAAAGGCAAGCACTTTTTGCGTTTCATTTGTTTTGCTTGGATGCGATGTTACGCACACGAACATCGGCTGACGGATCTGGTTCGCGTATGGGGGAAATTAAATCTCAAAAAAATTGAAAGTACACAAAAACTTGCAGACTTTTTTGTGTTATTAATAAAACTGAACTCGGCTTGTGGGCAAACAATGGCGTTGTAAAATGAATAAGTCGTTTAAACGGATTATGTATTAACGTTTTGGTTTTTTAAATAATACAAAGGAATTTCGGATATATGTCTGTAAAATGTATATTGTATTTAACATGAAACGGTGGGTGCGGATTTAATAAATGGAAATATAAATGTTATGGAAGAAATTTATGTGAAGTACAGAAGAGGACACTTATTATACTAATCGTTTCAATCAGTTTGTAATCCAAATAATCCATTTTATAGAAAATCTGCGTTAAAATGGAGGAAACTCTGCACAAACTATTATAAATTATTAGAAACGAATAGAAATCATATTAAATGTTGAAAATGACCATCTCCAACCCAATAGTTACAGTAGAAGGGCTTTTTTTGTCCCCAAGGTCGAATTCTTGAATATAAAAGACATATTTCGGGACCTGTAATAAAAATAATCATTTTCATTCAGTATAAGTCATTTATTTCTGTTATGTTTCATCCATTTCAATATTTACTAAGTTTTTTACGTAATATCTTGTATCCCTGCCGATTGATTCAATATCTTCTTTATTGAAGTGTACTTTTTACGCCAATATAAAATGACAGGGCTAAAAAGAACCCCGAAATTGTCGCAGACACGTGTAACATAAGAAAGGGGCAGAAGAAAAACGAGGTTTAAAATTAGATGAAAAAAATATTTGGTATTATGGAGAACTTTTTTTTATTATTAAAATATTACATTTCAATAACTCTGTTTGATATTGTGTTAAACATGTCACAGAAACACAAATTCATCATATCGTGTACAAGGAACAGTAGAATTATCAACGGGGAAGGGGTACAAACAATCTGAAATTTGAGGTCGAAGTTGAAATTAAAGGGGATTACTCCCTTAAACGAATTTGCAATAAGGGTTCTTGTCGGGATTCATAGGATAAAGTTTCAGAAGCAAATTGCATATGCAAATTGAAACCTGAAAGTTAAAGATGCAAAAGAAGCTTGTGGAAACTTAACAAGTTGTATGAAAAGTTCAACAGGAAATGTGTAATGGGAAACTGCGCTCATAACTGACAAAGAAAATAAGAATTTTGCCGGTTTTCCAGTTATAAACTCACTTATTTAAAAACACCCCCCCAAGTTTCAAATATCTAAAGAGAAATATGGAACTTTAATTCCAGTCCAATAAGTATTGAGTCAACAGCATATTGATGAAAAAGTGTATTTCGATTTCATGTGTCCACTGAAAATACTCTTCACAAGAATCTCCGCTCGTTTTGTAAAATATCTTCCAGAAAGGTCTCTTACTTTGCTGATGTATTGTATGTGAGTATAAATAGAAAAATATTCTGTTGTGACAGAAAAATATTTTAAAGTAAAATCGTTTTTACCAGACAAGCGTAGTCTTTTTGAATTGGTAACTCATAACAACCTTGTTCCTGATTTGCTGAAAGTATCAAAGTATTTATTTGCAATATTCGTATGAATTTCTCGGATATTATCTTCATTTGGCGAAATTATTTGCGGAATCACGTACTTCACGGATTATATGGGGTGAAGAAAATTGAATTCGTAACAAACTTCGCATGGCGCGAGGACATATGAAAGCAAACGACGTCTTAGGCTCTCGACTTCTCATTATGAACAGCTAGCAGTTGATACTCGCCCACTTATATTATACTCGCGTAAAGTTTGCTAAGTGGAGACAATATAGTGCTAATTGTTCCCTTCCTATGTAATAATTGCCCACGTATTTAACACAATAAGTTAATTAGAGGGTTCAGATCGAGAGAGAGAGGGAGGGAAAGAGAGAGAGAGATAAATATTGTTACAAACTCAATAGCCTTTCAGTAAAAATATCAGAATATTTATATATATCACTGACAATATAACTTCGCTCCAGTCCGCTACTGAAATAGGCCAGTAGTTTTAAATTTGCCGATAGAGTACACCAATTTTAGGAAGAATCAAATGCAGTGACCCGCATTCCTACGCGTATTCTAGCAATATATAAACAACACTTTGGCAATGTTGTCACGTGTACTTAGGATTTATTTTGTACGCTTTTCCTGTCTTTTTTTTGTTACTGTATTTACTTAAATGTATGATGTAGGTATAAAAACGTTTTAAAGAATCAACGAACACATATATAGTTTCATATGACATTCTGCAGCTTATATACGCACTGGTTGAAATTCAATATAAGCCTTTCGTTTAGTTTGACCTTGAAAAGACCTTTACCTGACCTCCAGGAGACCTTAGATAACTAAGCTACCCCCGAATTCAGGTTCAGCGATCCCAAAAGCATTGTACCTACTGGTCAAAATCTATTACATGCCTCAGTTTTTGAATCCATCAACTTCAAAGTTCGTGAAGCTTGCGCAGACTTACAGCCAAAATCACATACTTCCTCCTCCTCTACATCTCTTAAACTATTCTGTTCTCTGAATATGTAAACTCATAAAATTGAAAAGCTTCTGTAAGATTCTCAAAACCATTGTAGCAATATTTCCACTTTAATCTTCCCGTGTAGTATTGCAAAGTGAAATTACATTAAAATATAACCAACACCAGGTAGAGACGGGGTCACTTTAATTATTAGGAAGTACAAGAACATCCCCGGCACCTATAAATTCATTAGTTACTGATACACCCTCGTGAATGAATTCGTGTTCGGCAAAAAAGGAAATGTATTCATGAATAAAACAGGAAGTTGGTGTGGCGGATAAACAACCCAACACGAACGTGCACGGGAAATAAGTAAGTGACAGGTTCTCGAGTGTGGAAAAAAATATGTGTAGGCACATATCCCTATGTATACTTAGCAGAGGGTGGAAATAAAAATCTTGAACGGTTTTTGATGCTTTCTTTAATGATGCTTTGTCAATTAAATGTTCTATTATTAAACATACCTCATTCTAATTTTATATCTGGATCAATAACGTATTTATTTTTGTGCTACGATCAAACTCCCTTCTTTTTTTCGTGTAAAAACTAGCCGGTATAGTATTTATATCGCGATTGTTATGCAAATGGTAATGTAATTTCTGCTCGGAATTAGTAAATTGGAAGGATGAATAGTCCCGCTCCGCTCGTATTACACGCGTAGAGAATTTTAGCGAAATTGTATTAAATTTCAAATTATCTTGAGTTGTGGCAACGACATTCTCCCATAAGCGGACTATCATAATATTTCTGAATTTATGTAGTGTCCCAATCTTTTCATATAATGTAAATGAGTCGGGTTTTATACCCAAGGGTAGTGTTACAAACGACTACATTGTGAAAAACTTGAACAAAGTTTGTGCAGATAGAACTGCGTGGTAAATATGTATGAAAATGATAAAGGATCTGCTCTATGAGCCGTCGAAAACTGCAAATATAGGGTGTTCAGTTTCTCAACAACAAATTCAAATTCGACAAATTTTCAACAATTCTTGTTTTCAATCATAACCTTTTATTCTTGTTTATTTCACAAGTCACTAGCACAGTGACACACTTTTTTGTAAGTAGGTTTCACGGGGTTTTGAGTAAGTCAACCATATTAAAAAGGGGTAGATTCTTCCTCCTATACCCAATGAGTACACGTACCCACTGTGTGTGGCTCAGTTGACTTTATAGCTACTTCAACGATGTACTCTTTGTTTTATTGGAGTTATTGGAGTACGAAATTATAAAATCAACGTTCTTTAAGCTGCCTACGCTGCAAAAAATTGATTTCCAAGTTATATGGAGGAGCTGGTAGCTTGCCTGCTTATCATTCATGTAGGTAGCGCAAGTTTATTTTAATATAAATTTTTGGTGGTTAGACCTGTAGCGTACCGTTTGAATAATAATGGACTAGCTACTTATACCATTTTTTTACATTTGCAAATAATAATAAATCTATAGAAAAATACATCATCTGCCCAATATAAGTATTCGGAAGCTTCAGATATTATGAACTATGGAATTTATGCACATAATAGAAATATTAATGCCTCGGTAAGTACTCAGCAATCTGTGTTTAAACAATGGGATAGATAATAGGCAAGAATTTCTAATTGGTGTATAATGAATGATTTTAGATAGGAATTTTCATGAAATATTCAGTAATTAGGAGGATATATGTCAAAAGAATTTGTATCCAGTCGATATTCAATGGAAAAAATAAAAAAAAACAACATAAACAGCTTACTTTCTTAAAACCTATTCGCTGCATAAAACATGCTTTAAATAAAAGTCATAGCATTCATTGGGAAAGAACAAAAGAGTTTCTCCTCTTGTCAACTCCATCCGGGGACACACTGTATATACATTATTAATAAACTTTATTGTACTTAAATTCTCAAGTTTTTACTAAATTATTTTATTAAAAAAGTAAAAAAATCAAAAAATCTTATTTTTTGCTTTCTTTAAAATTGTTTATTAACGATTTTTTGCATAAAATTTTCCTTTTACGTTTTTTAAATAAGCCATTTCAATGAGAAATTCAATTCTCTACAAAATTTGTCCTAAGAACTATAACCGAAATTTTGCTTCGATTTCGTTCTATATTTAAAAAACTGCAAAAGTGCTTTTTTACCCCTATCTTCAATTTCAACCCTCTAATTTAATAGAACCCCACGGTTTTTCAATTTTTAATGACTTTTCGAAAAAGTCATGTGATGAAAATCCTTGAACGTCTTATTTATTTTCTTTTTTACGAGAATTAAAACTTATAAGAGTAAACGCGACAAAAATCGAAAAATTGGCTAAGTTTAAGCGGCCATATGTCAGTCAATTTTCATCCAAAAATACTTTACAACCTCTTGTTTTGAAGGAAATTTTATCTAATTTTATTTTGTATGAAGCAATCCCTATACCTTTACTCCAAAAAAAAACTAGAGGCAAAAAAGTAAAAAAATCAGAAAATGGAATTTTTTGCTTTTTATCAAATTGTTTATTAACGATTTTTTGCATAAAATTTTCCTTTTAAATTTTTTAAATAAGCTATTTCGATGGAAAATTCAATTCTCTAAATAACTTTTCCTATGAACTGTAGAGAAATTTTGCTTCGTTATCGAGCTACAATTAAAAAACTGAAAGAGGTGCATTTTCACCTTATAATTAGCATTCTGCGGTTTTTTCATCTAAAATGACCCTTTGAATGACTCATGCAATAAAACTGCTTGATATGCCTGTTTTTTTGGATATAATCAATCGCCTCTTTAGAGGGACTTTCTATTTATACTATAAAATATAGAGCGTCCTATTAAAAAAAATGTCTGTAATGTTATAGGTATGTCAAATATGGCTCGAAAAAATAGAAAATATTGCAGGAAAGTGACAATTTCTATTTACTAATTGACCTATTTCAGCGATTTTTTTAAATTTCAGCTGGAAAAAAATATGTAAAAATACACTGTATAATTGTATAATGATGATTTGAAATATTCCGTATTTTTACAATTATTTCTTTTACTTTGTAGAAATGATATGAAGACATAATTCAATTCACTGATTCCTTTCCAGCTCTCAATTTTTGTTTCTATGTCAGAGTATAAACTTTATTAAGACCATATTAAAAAAAGTACTAAGTCCCAGGTAAATAAAAAAGTAGGAAAAATACATTAATCATATTAAAGCAATTACAATTTAATTATCGTTAACGAAGAAAAGAAAAACCTCTGATACTCCTTAAACATTTTGCAGTTTACAGACTCGTTGTTCTTTCAATGTAATTAAGACAAAATAATCTTAATTAGAAATAACGAGAAAAAAGTAGCATATAACTCCTAACCGTTTATTATGTCTTAGTTAATTTTGGAGTCGTTTTCTTACAGCGTAGTTTAAATAGGACAAAGGGAAAATAATTATTACTCTTAATTTATACGGGGCGTTTTGGAAATAGCTGCCATAAATTCAGAGGCTCGTAAAATGTAAAAAATGGGGTGATTTTTTTATGGACCATGGGTCTATTGATGTTGTTTTGAGCTGATTTTTTTGCACACATTGAAATTCTGGACAACCAAGATATTGGAAAAATTAGAAGGTTTTTAGGTATGTCGCATATTAATTGTAAAATTTAATTTTACACAAATAGGTACCCTTGAAATTGTTGAAAATGGTACGTGTGAACAAAGAAATTAAACTACACCCTGTATAATTTTTTTCAATGTTGGATCATTATTTTTTTTGAGATTTAATTTTCTTTTTTTTTTCAGGTTAAAATTCCGCAGGCGAATGGTCACGACATCCAAGGCAATGGCTGCACGAGGACCACCTTCGTCCCGTCCTGCAAACTCACCGTGCCGCCTCCTGAAGCTATTTCGCCGAAAGAAGCCTGCACTGAGAACGGTACCGCAGAGCAAAAAATCGACGAGACGACGTACACCTTCAGCAGACACGGCATTCGGTCCAACTACATGGACAAAAGCATAGAAGCCAAAAAGAGGGTATGCAAAGTGAATATAACTGCCTAGCCCGGGAATGGGGCGTTTATAGATATATATTTATGTAAATTCGATAAAAAATTCACGTACAGAAGCCGGCGTACTTGTCGTTTTAGTTCTAGTTGAAGTAATACACTCTTTCTGGAAATAAAATGAATAAAAGACGAAGATATTCATACCAGTACAGCTTAGCGTGACTTTAGTACAGGATCACTTCAACTTACAGGATGTAACAATTGTTGGTGCTAAAAATAAGAAAGAATACGAAACTTTTTAATGGAACACCCTGTATACTTGTCTCGCCCTTAAATCCTCTTTTTTATTATTATAGTACACGTCTTTTTCTTTTAATAAATTTTCTTTATGAGAGGATAATTTTATGATCCTCGAGAAGTCCTAATTTGACCCTCATGTAATTCCTTCTATGGGTTGGTCCTGAAAGATAGACTGAACAAAGAACGACCCAAGAATTTATATGAAGTAAGGGAGAAAATATTGAACGAAGTTAGTTGATAACGGTGGATGATAAAAAAATTGCTTGTAATATACGTCCTTTGTCTAGAACAGGACGGAGGTACAACAGAATACCTTTTATCATAAGATTTATTACCTTAATAGTGAATATAAGGATTTGTTTAGTAAATTTAGGACCGGAAGACATATTCACGCACTGGTTCCATGGCAATCTTGACTATGTGCTTAATCGGAGATAAATCAATCTATTCTGCAAACTATCAAAGCAAATAAATTACAGGTATATATCATTGCAATCAGAAAAAAAAACCAATAAAAAATGCATTTAGAAAAAACGAAATTTGGTTATTATATCTTTGATATACAATATATAGGGTGACTCACAACTTATTCAAAAAAATTTGGGGATAAATGTGTTATGAAAAATGGGAATCAATATCGTAAAAATTTTTTTGTAAAATCCCTATAGTCTTCGAGAAAAATATTATTGAAGTTGTAATATTTTCAGCCCTTACATGGCTGGGCTACTGTAGTCTCTAGCGTTATTCGTGTTGTGCGCTCTATCTCTCTCCACGTGGTCCAGGCGATTCCGAACATTGAAATCCGATAGTGTTTACATTAGTTTTTTAAGTGCCAAAAATGGCTTACATGTACAGCAACTCGGAGTTTATTGCAATAAATGGACAATTATGGGTCACCCTGTACACGGAACATACATCCCACATTTCGTTAAAATATATATGAACATATATCTTTCTCTTGATTTAGTAGAGCTACTGCCATTCTTGTAGCATATTTCAAAGTCTTTAGCGCTTCGCATACCTTGTGACGTCCTTTTGAAGTAGAACGTGATACTCTAGGGCGAGGTTTTATTTCTCTAGAGTGAACCCAAAGCCAGTTATCCGTAACAATACTTTCTATCTGTCTTACACATATACATATATATTTTTGTCATAATTAGGATTATCTACTTCATATCCTGAATATTTTACTCAGACGTATAGGCGCCGTCCTGTGTTCAAAGAATGTTCTTTGGAGGAAAATCGAAAGTATTGCGTTGTGGTACCCTTGAACTTAAAATTTTTGGTCATAAAAATTTCACCTAACTGGCAGTCAACATGTGAAAATAAACGTGAAGGGCCAAGCACAATATTTGTTTCCCCAGTAATCTGATTTATGTGATATCGGACAGAAGGTGCTTTATCAATATAAATATCGAGATTTATTGTACTAGTCGTGGGAGAGAATACGTGTGTTTTCTCGGAATTTTAAGGTAGAAATTGAGTCGTCTCGGATTAAATTGGGAACACAAGCAATTTAAAGATATTATTAGTCTATTCATTCAGTTTCCCTCCTTCGTGTTCGGTCTTTTTTAGGATGTCATTTTGATCTGCCATAATATACTTAATATACCACGCACAACACACACACACTATTATATTTCCTACAATTTCAGCCCCCTAATATCAACAACCATGGGCATTTGGGGGTCAGGGGAGACAAGAGCGACAACCATGAAAAGCAGTGGCGGCTCGTGACATTGTGAATAGGTGAGGCCCGTGGCTTTTTTACTAGGTGGGCAAGAAAGAAAAAAAAGCACTCCGGGCAAAAATTTTTAAGTCAAATGCATCTGAAAATTTCTATTTGCAGACATCAGACACTACCCGCGTACTATGCGACGCGTACACTAACCGTGAACTGAAGTTACAAGACAAGTACAAGCAACTTTGAGCCGGCCTCAGTTCCCTCTAAATAAAATAATAAAATACCGAACTTCATGTGTGTTTCCAGCTTGCATTCGTCTACACACAAACTGTTTCTTGTAGATGTACACTTTAATTAGTTGTAGGTACATGGAAAAGAATAAAAACTTTCCTTGTTGAAAGTTGTTGCAGGATATTCATTAGAGGTGCCGGATAATTATTTACAATTACCCGGCGTCCTTGGTGTGTTTACTAGCTGGTAGTTTAATTGACATAGTGGGGCAACTTAAATTAACTGTCAGAGAACTATTTGGAGCTGTTAATCCTGATGGAATTCGGTAACGAAAATGCAGTCTAATTAACGTCTTCAGCGGCGTTTGAATTGCAAAGTACCTACCCGTTATTTGCAAGGAAATTCACAGTGTAAGGCGTCCAATCTATTTTTCTCAAGAAGGGCGGTCGTTAAAAAAGATTATTTATTCTTGTAGATTTGTTAAAAGTTTCATCGAAGCTTGCTGCAATCCTGTGTGACTTTCGATTTAATTTTGCGAACATAACTCACCGTTTATATTTTCCAGGAACGCCCTGTAGAAACGTCGGCAATGAATACAAATATAAAAGAAAATCGTGATGTTCATTGACTTCCATCACTTTAAATTCAAATTAGGACAAAATTCCTCGTCAGTTCTGACAATAAGGCAACTCTCAGGTGATATAAAACATCTAATTTCTCGATTCTGTTCGACATTCCTCCAACTTTTGTTCAACTCCATTAAGAGAGACAGATGAGGGTTGACAGGTTTTCAATTACCCACCTACCAAAAATGTCTCGGCCGAAATTTATTGAATTGTGAACCGGATTAGGCATAGACTAATCCAGAGACTCATACAAACAAAAATGATCATTACTAAGTATCACAGTAACTTGTTTGTCGATCACTAATTGTAAAAGGAAGGCAGAAGCAATACAATTTGCTAAGAACATGCAGAAACCCATGTATTCTTATAGTCCAGACGATATCTGTTTCAAAAAGTCCATATTTGGGTAAATCGTATATCCACGGAGATTTTTGCCTTTTTGGCTTTCAAATATCACTTGAAATGAAAATTTTTCTTTGCGCATAAAAAAAAACGTGGGCTTAACTTTTAGCGTATATGCGTATAGAAAAATTTTCATTTCTAGTGATATTTGAAAGCCAAAAAGTCAAAAATCTCCGTGGATATACGATTCACCCAAATCAAAACACATACTGCCTAGTCTATGGTTAAAATTAAGGTAATTTAACCTTGATATGATCCTTGAGAGCCTTGTTCAGTCCACAAATTGTCGAATCGTTACTACCATACTACATTTCAGAACAACGTATATCCCTGAAAAGGATATAATTATAATTTGACTGAAAAAAAAAATTGGTTGGTTAAATAATAAACATAATTATGCTTAAGAGAGTGCCGTATATTACTATTAGCTTTAATCCTCGTTGTCCTTTGTAGGTAATTCGCATGCTGTTCGTCATTGTAGCCGAGTTCTTCATATGCTGGGCCCCGCTGCACATCCTGAACACTTGGTATTTGTTTTACCCAGAAGACGTGTACAAATACGTCGGTTCCACGGGGATCTCGCTGGTACACTTGCTCGCTTACGTTAGCTCTTGCTGCAATCCAATTACCTACTGCTTCATGAATAGGAAATTTCGGCAGGCGTTTCTCACGGCCTTCAACTGTCGGTGAGTATGGTTTCTAATCGTCTACAAGCCTGGTAAGCCTCGCGGGGAAAGTTAAATTAGAGAAAATGTACTCAATTAGATCCAGAAGGGTTATTTGATGTAAAACATCCCTTTGAGTTAATCAGTTTTTATGAATAATGGAATAATTTGAGCGACCTATTTATATTCTTCAAATATACAGGGTGATTCACAAACGGTGACCAAAAATGAAACCTCGTATTCTTTGGTTAATTTTAAGGGGTCGTTCGTATAAAGTTTTTAAATTATTTAAAAAAAAATAATTATATTTTATCAACATCTTAATTTCTTTCAGACATACAGAGATATATGCTCCTAAGGCAAATATTTTTAAATATTGTAACGGGAAAACCCTATTATTTTTGACAAGTTATAAGGTTACACCCTAACTGTTGCTTTTTGCTTAATTCACACTACTTCAGTGCATTAATTTGGTTTGTCTTAAAATTTAGGATCTGTTGTATATCTTTTCTTATTGTTATTGATCTGCTTTGTCAGCAAAAGTTGTTATTTTCTTATCCAGGGGCGTAGCCAGGTAGAAACTTCAGGCCGGGTATACGATTTCTACCTTTTTAAAGAAAAAAGTATGCCTGTTTGAAGACGAGAACAAAAAGTATTAGCTAGTTATATCAAAATTTATCTTTCAAACGTTTTTCCAGGTATCGCGAAAATTTCGTCAAGCAGACAGACAATTCCTATCCCCATGACTACGTCTTTGTGTATCATATATTCCTGTGTCTCTGAGGCTTTCTGTCATCAATTATTGATAGAGCTTTTAAACACGTGCCACAAGTTCCCCCAGCACCTTGTCCCGATCTCGACATTACCTCGAAAGCTTTCCTTAAATGATTCTGGAGGCATATACAAGCTGTTATTGTCGCTTTGATTAATCTCTATAAATTCGGCGGTCTATATTATTTATAAATTTACGTTCGTTAATCGCACGTCTCTGTTCGACCGAAAAATATTGTATTCTTGCGGACTGAACTGACTGCGTTTGACAGTTAATTTATTTTTCCGTCAATTGTGATTAAGCGGGAGGACCGTGTGGGAATCTTTGTAGACATGTCGACGACGGTAAAATAAATAAAACAGTCGCTAAATCCGTGCATTGTGTCGGCCAAACAAATATTAAGTTCCCTTTCTTACATGTTCTCTATTAAAAAAAAATGTAGCTGAAATTTTAATTCTCCAAAGTACAATTTTTTAGCTGTAAAGAGGAATGGGATCTACTTCATGCATGGGAGTAGGTGCTTGCTTATTATTTATTTGTTAATTTGACAGGTAATTTATGATTCCTTTCTTCGTGATTACAATTTATGTAGTATGCAAATCGTACTGGTTACAGTAAATACAATCTCCAGAAAACTGTGAGGGAATATTAAGGGCTAACCAAAATTTTGCTACCAAATTGATTACTCCGTTTGCACCATGGTTTCATCATATATTTTCTATTCATTGAACCATCAGACCAGTGGCGGTTCGTGACATTGTGAAGCTTTTTTACTAGGTGGGCAAGAAACAAAAAAAAGCGCGCAGACAAACTTTTTTAAATTTTCAAGATCAAACAACTAAATGCATCTGGAAATTTTTAGTTGCATTTACAATATTATAGAAAAACTGACGTTCACGAGTATGATTTTCATTCAGATTTTATAAAAATTAATACGCAACTATTTGGATATTTTATTAATCCGCTCGCAAATAATAAATAGGAATAAATTTCATAGGAATATTCAATAATCAAGCAATTATTTTCTACTGTTGTTTTGATTTTACATAAATGTAATAGGTAATTGGAAATGTTTATATTAAGAGTTTGTTTAGTTTACTTTTTGTAATATTATATCACTGCATACACAAGTGATTGTAAATGAACAGCATTTTTTCTAATTTCTTCATAAATGTAAAGTATTTCCTTAACAAATTTAGCTACGATCCACAACTCCTGTTTAGAAGCACACTGCGTTGAAAGATATTTTTTTAATGATAAAAATTGCAAGCAGCAAAAAAGGTACCTGTAATGTTTATGTATCTAATGGGCTAAAAAAATGTTATCCTATATATCTTCTGTACGTAGGGAAAGTCTATAAAATATTATCTCAATTTTTTTCTTTGCAACACTCATCACCTATTATAACTTATGACCTATAATATAGTTCTATAGTCCTATGAAAACATTGATTTACATGGAAAATTAATGGATCAGAACCCTCATTCGAGCATATACTTCTATGAAAAGTGTTACGAAGGCCAAGGGTCACACAACATGAATTTTGGTGGGATTGAGGTTAAGCATGAAACAATTATTATTTACACGAAATTTTAATGGCGTTGGCATTAAAAAGTCTTTCTGAGGCTTCACGAAGCTTACAGCATAATAATATACTACACCTTCTTCCTGGTTAGTTGCTAATTTCAGACTGATCTTTGTAATTATCATCGACCAGAGGACTTAATTTTAAAATTGTTCAATTTTATTTTTATATTATTTTTTTATATATTCTTTATTACCTAATAGAGTAAATTGCCTTTAAACCATGTGTATAATAACGGGGCTTTCCAGACAGTTTTAATAACCCACCTTTATCACGTTTATCCCGAGTATTTTCTCGATCTTCTAGATAATAAAGGCAATATCTAAGTTATTATTAAGTTACACACAGAATGATACGTCTGTAACATATCGGTGAAGCTTTATTTCATTAAAAGTTATTTAGTTCTAACGAGGACTCCTCTTACAATCGCAAAGCTTCCTCAGTATGAGGGAAACAGTATTTAAATTGCAAAACTTTCTCTGGACGTCGATATACTGTATAAATATAGACGATATATATTTGCTTGAAATCGTTAACATGAATATCGAACTTCCATCCGAATTTAAAATCCACTTTTTATACAATTTTTTTTGTCAATAGCTACTTGAGTTTATAAGGAGGAAACACTTGAATTTAGTAAATAGTTTATTTCAACCGTCAAAGGTTTCTACAATGCCAAAACCACTGCCAGACGATGTCAAGACAACAACAATGATCGCCAAAATCGAGATATGTCAAAAGGGAGAAGCGCTAGCGAAGATTCACCTCGGGAATAGGCGAAGTCATCGAAAGATGTGATTGAACGTCGACAGTAACGTTCCCAAGAGGATCTTAAGAAGATGTATTGTTAGAGGAATCCGCAGTAATCCAACTGGTAGCTACTACTACTGCTAGCAGAACCAATGGAAAGGACGAGATGCGACAAAACATAATTTTTTAAGGTCTTATAAGTAATGGCATTGACTGGACACGCCACTTGAATTGCTCCTAATTGCTTCTACGACGGTGAAAGTGGAGACATATTTAAATACAAACTTTTGTAATTAATTTGCGGCAAGGAAACTGATGTTAAAGCAAATATTCTTGTTCTTTTTCTTAACTTGGCTTAAAGATGTCATTACCATCGGAGGTGCCTTGGGTAATAGACGACTGTCAAGGCAATGTTTCAAGTTTGGAAGTTGCGTCTAGCCCGCTGTATCAGCTGGTAACAAGGTAATGTGGGGATAGGGCTGTAAAGTTTTGGGATAACTATACAATTTTTAGGAGAAAGTGCCTCATCACGAAAACTCAACAATAAAGTCAAGTGAAATAACTTAGTATGTATTTTGTGTCAAATTGGTGTAATTCGAAATCCAGAAGCCTAGTGTGAACTGTTCTTTATTTGATTTCAATGCAAGAGAAGCTTTTGTAACTGAATTGTATGATCTTGTGCTGAAAATGAATAAGCTCCTTTATTTTAAATGTTGGTTATCTTATGTATTCCCTCTTGTCCACTAGGTTTTGAATTCCATGTGAATATTCAATGCCTTTCATGTTGACAAACCTTTTGATTTCCTGCATGACTCGCTTTTACACACAAGTCTGCGGTTATCTTTGTTCTAGGTAGTAAAACACAATAGTGTTTGGAGTTTAGATCGCTTCTTGCTCTTTGATATTTCTGGATTTGATACATTTTGACTGTTTGTTAATATAGGTCTTAAATATTCAATTTAGTTATTTAATTTATACTTACTTTACATAATAAACGATATATATTGAAATATAATATTGATTCAGGAAAACTTTTGTATTTCTAAATTCACTGAAAAAATTTATCTATATATCAAAAATGTAGTTTTAAATGAGGTAGTGTATACAGGGTAATCAGTAACATAGTAGACGGTTTTATTCTTACAATACAACAATACACCAATGGGGTTTTCTGTCAGAAACGCGGCCAAATAACAAAATTAAAAAAAGTGCATTTATACAGTGCTTTATTATGGAAGGGCGAAATTTCTATGACTTTCTTTATCGCTCTCACGTAACGACCGATGAACCATGGGGCCTTTCCGACCCTGTATATAATAGGAGACAAAATTAAAATAAATTGCGAGCTGGTTTTACAACCACTTCTTGCTTGGTATAGCTCCAAATCAACTCTTTGTAACGTTACAAATTTCTCTTACAGGAGCACATAAATATTTATACTATTACCTCTCTATTGCTATTTTATTCTATATGTATATTAAATGTCTGAGATTATGCAAACTTTTAATGGAACGTTTCGTCCCGTGGAAAAATAAAATATGTGTTATACACACTTTTGCGGAAACTGTATTTATCGAGTTTATGCTCAAACGTTACATTTCCTGTAACTATAAATGTACTGGTTTTGAAGTTTTATTACAGAATTTATAGATGCAATCCAGGATATCGCAGTGCAAACCGTGAATTGGATATTTTGTAAATCTGCTATATTTTGCCGTAAATTCAAAGGTATAATTCTAATATTCGCGCATAAATCGTAAAATATGCATTTATATCCCAACCCCACCTGCCTAGCAGCGTTCTATTCTATAATATATAAAATATTGGCGAGGAAATATAAAATGAAAGGAGAAGATTATTAGATAAAACAGGTCTGTCGAAAATTTGCTTATACTTAGGCTAGGAAAAGACCATTTCGCGACTTTTTGTTTCGTTAAGCTGAATTTATCACTATAAATGCTAAATATTATGTACAATAACAAATTAGTTCCCACATTCATAAAAATGGGGGGAAGATTGTTTACAGGGTGGTTAATTGTATAATTTTTATGTAAATTCACGTTTTTCGCTTATAACTTTTTAACTAGCCCTCGAGCGTCAAAAAATACTAATTAGATACAAAGTTATAAACAGAAGAAGTTTATTTATGACTTTTGAATTAAACATTTATAAACTGCGTTATTATTACCAGTCGTTTTGGCATCACATCCTCTCATTCCTTGTCACTGTATAATAACTCACACGAAATCTGGAATCGGTAAGTTGAATAATTTACAAGTTATGGCATTATAAACAAATTAACTAATTATTAGTCTGGACGATCCCGAGGATCTTCCACAATCGCAATGATTTTTTTCATGGTAGATTTCATAATAATACATTGAAATCTATATTTTTTTTTTAATTTCAAATTTGCAACCTGGAATTTTTTTAATTTTTAGCCCATTCCAGGTTTCGTGTGAGTTATTAGACAGTGATAAAGAATGAGAGGATGCGATACCAAAACGTTCTGGTAATAATAACGCAGTTTATAAATGTTTAATTCAAAAGTCATAAATAAACTTTTGATCTAACCAATATTTTTTGACGCTCGAGAGCTAGTTTTGTAGGTCTTTTGAAAACGAAAAAAAAAACTACTGTACTATTTTTTCGTAGAAATGAACGGAAAAAAGTTATTAGCGGAAAACTTGAATTTACGTAAAAATGATGTAATTAACCACCCTGTATACAATCTTCCCCCCATTTTTATGAAACTATGGAAACTAATATGTTATTGTACATAATATTCAGCATGTATAGTGATAAATTCAGCTTGCCGAAACAAAAAGTCGCGCCCAACTCTATATTTCTTGAACTATACTTGACTGGAACGTTTATTATCAATTGTGAATATTTGGAAACCTTCTTGAGGCTGCTAACATTTTAGACTGAATTAAGTAAACTTCCGTCTTACAACAGAATGACCTATTGTCCTGAACAATCGAACAAAACATTTGACATCCGCCTACAAGATACTCCAGGAAAACAAATTTGCATTGCCCCGATTAACTTTCCAGAAGCGAAATTTCATATCTGGCACGTCCCCATGACCTTTGCCCTAATATTTGGACAATACGGTGACCCGTTCTAATAGCTTCCAATTTTTCAGCGTGTGCTGCTGTTTGGCCTGCGACGATACCATAAACGGCACAACGAAATTCCACAACAACGGAATCCTGAAAATGGCACAGAATAACTCAGACCTGTCTGCTAACGAGTCCACCGTTTATCTGGGCAGAGCCAGCACCATAGGACGCTCCGGTAAGCAATTATTTTAATTTAAACGTCCAGATCCGTTTAAAAACGACGCGTGTGATGTTTCCCAGGGGATCGTTCAACCGAAATACGTTACATGTACCGATATGTGCCCCAAACAACAGAATAAATAGGTTTTGATTTTATAACTGGCGTATTTTAGTGCGAAATATATCCAGAAACATTTACCATTTCTTTTAATTGGTCTCGAGTAGGTTTTTGTACTGTGGAAATCAGAAAGTTGCAGGGTGCTAAATCTGGCGAGTGAGGAGTTTGACTTTCTTGCCAGCTAGACTTGTAATGGGAATAAATTGTGTGCAAATCTGATTACGATTATTTTTAAAACTGTGAAATTATTACTAACAAATTCCAGATTTTCTCAAATTTCAAACAATGCTGTGAATTTTCATGCCAGTGTTTTCTGTGGTTGAGAATTTTGGTCCTGAGCTAGCTGCGAGTGATTTCTCGAAAGCTTCGGCGGATTGTCCCGAAAATTAATAAAAATCTGAACTTACTCTGCTTCAATTGTCCTATCCTAGAATTGTGTAGCGACAGTGGAGTGTGGTATGGTATTTAGATCACTTCAATTTGAGTATTCGAAAGTGTGGCGATTTTTTCAAAGTTCGCTTGTACCCTGCGATAATGTCAGTAAACAATTCTTGTTATTTAATGAATTCTCTCATATTTTCATGTATGTATTTTAATTGTGGTTGAGCAACCTTTCATTTTTTTCCACATATTGTAGACGGAAAATGATTTTAGTACTAAGCAACTGATTTTTTCTTTGAAATTAATTACCAAGTGCGATTTGTAAGAGGTATAACATAATAATTGTTATACCTACACGACATAATTGAACGAACTGTGTACTTTCTCGTTTGTTTTACAAATGTGTTGGTTTCCCAAACATTAATATATAGTGTTTCTGAAGAAATTGGTGCCAGGATGATTTTAGCTATTGGAGGACTGAATACAGACCTTTCTTTTGACTTTTTTTATATGGAAAAATTATATTCACTTTAATTGGTTTATTTGGAGAAATTTCGTGTGTTTTGGCAAGTGACAGATTTAGAACAAACCCAAATGATTTGATTGTTAAATTTTTGATACCTCCATCTCACTTGTGTTTGTACAATGTGGAAAAAAAAGAATGGAGATAAATTCATTATTTCTGACAGTTTTGTGACACTTCCTTGGACATGTCAATTTTGTATTCTAAAAAACGCTTTTTCATGTAACCTGTTTACCTCCACATTCAGCTGTTTGCGAGTGGTGACGTCATCGTTTTTTTAAAGTAGAATCTCTCGTTTTTTAGCCAGATTCTTGTAAATCTTATTAGACTTATTAGATTAAATTTGCAATAAATAATGTAAAGGGTATCTCAAACTCGATAGGATGGGCGTACTGTGAAGATACAAAAAATTGAAATAAAATTTGAGTCACGTGGTGTTGAATGGGATGAGGTAAGCTCAACTTTCAATCGAAAATTTTTCCTGTTAAAAAGTTCTCTTTTTTCTAATAAACTTTTATTAGAGAAATTTTTCTGTATTACTTCCCCTTTAAAAGTTATAAGCAATATCGTCCTAAAGAGTCTCAAATGAAAATCCAAAAATCACATTAACGGTGGAAGGATCAAGTAGTCGTTGGAAAATAATTGAATGTTCGTTGTTTAAAGTGCATAAAGTCAAACGTATAATTTTTGTGCTTACAAAATGTTTTCTCATTCAGAAAAAGTTGATATGTTGCTAATTTACGGCGAGTCACAAAAAAATTCAAGAAGAGCTGTAGAGTTATATCGATAAAGACATTCAGAGCCAATTATTTTCCAACGATGACTTGATCCTTCCACAGCTAATGTGATTTTTGGGTGGTATTTCGTTTGAGACTCTTTATAACCTATAAAGGGGAAGTAATGCAGAAAAAATTCTCTAATAGAAGTTTATTAGAAAAAGAGAGCATTTTAACAGGAAAAACATTAGGGTATGTTTCTGGAAAAAATATAATTGATGACGTCATTAGTCGTTTCTGTCAAATCCCAAAGATAATACTTTCGATTGAAAATGGAGCTTACCTCGTCCCATTTAGCACCACGTATCCCAAATTTTATTTAAATTGTTTGTATCCTCACAGTGGGCCCATAATATCGAGTTTGAGACGACACCCTGTTCAGGGTCTTATCTTTCTTACCTTTCTGAATAAATGCCAATGGCTTGTGAACAATCGTGGGTACCAACTACTTATTGTTAGTAGCTCTTAGGAGAACAAGCTCCATTAATTGGGTTGTTTGGGCCTTGGCGACTTGATAGCAACTACCCAGTAGCCGCTACCAGCGACCAGCGAGTTTCTAGGAGAACGCTGCTTTACATAGACATTAATGTTTGCAGAAATGATGGTCCTAGAAGCTGAAGATCGTGTTTAGCAGCGCCTCGGACTACCTGGGGGTGTCAACTTCGACGAGCGGCTCAAGACTCGCGCAGGTCATCGAGGCCGATCCAGACGACGAGACCTTCAGATACCGCATTACATGGATACGATCGCCTAATTACGGGGGAGCCAGTTCGGCGAGCACCAGTCTGTACGCCTGAGCCCTAATTAGGGCCTCTTCTTCTGTCGGTTTACTGTCTACAGTGACGGACGCTGCTCTGGGGGAGGGGGCACCGTTATCTCCGCACGCAGGATGAGATTTAATGGAATTCGAGTTCCTTCCGGACTGCGAGAGCGTAAGATGGGTTTTTATACGGATACTAACTTTTAGGTGCAGTACACTTTGGATAATAGCACAAGAATGTAATTTTTTATAAGTTTTTCAAATTTAAGTGAAGAGATTTTTATTTTTTTTTGCATTTATCAGCGCTGATCATTGTTGGGAAAAGAAGGTAGAGCATCGATAAATTTTCTTGTTTTGTAGATGTACAGTTTATGGACAATTTCAAAAGCAAAAAGTCTCTTACAGTGCGTGTAAAACTGTTGTGTCATTTTTATAAATGATATCTGGTGGATATGCTATACGGTGAATGTAGACAAAATGCTGCAGCTGCAGAAAATTTTGAGCCCTCATATCGAATACTTACTGTTTTTGTTGCTAAATGAAGTCAATACGATATTAATAATTTATTAGTTCTCTGTGCCATTTATGGATAGAACAGGACTTATACAGGGTGTTTCAGAAAGACCTCCCGTAAATTCAAGGAATGATAGTACGACAAAAAATAAGAATATTTTGTCATATGAACATCTATCTCCTCTTGTCTTCGAGATACAGAGCGACAAAATAAAAATTTTTAAATAGAATTTTTACGAAAATTGCAAAATATTTTTATGAAATTTGGTTTTCCGGGGTTTTTAAGGATGCCAAAAACGATGGTCTAATTGGATATTTTATAGAGGGCGCTAGTTATCCTACATTCCTATTACATTGTAAGTTCTAATTTTTTCAGGTTAGGTTCCAATTTCTAATGTACAAATTTATTTTTCCTAAAATAATGTACTCTTGTTAGAACTTCCTAATGTGGACGGTTTTCGAGAAAGAAGGCTTTCAAATGAACTCCTACAGTATTACGGTGTATAAAATAAGTGACTTTTCTCAAAGTAGGCTTATGTCAAAACTTATTGATGGATGTCTCATAAACAATGCATTCTCAGTAATATTTTAAACTCTAATTAACTTTATATCAAAATTTTAGTGATTGTTAGTGACTGTAGTAATGACTAATTATTTTCAGTCACAAAAATTTTGATATAAAGTTAATTAAAGTTTAAAATATTACTAAGAATGTATGCGTTGTTTATGAGACTTCCATCAATAAGTTTTGACATAAGCCTACTTTGAGAAAAGTCACTTATTTTCTTCACCGTAGGAGATCAATTAAAAGCATTTTTTTCTCGAAAACCGTCCACATTAGGAAGTTCTAACAAGAGTACATTATTTTTAGAAAATAAAATTGTGCATTAGAAATTGGAGCCCGAATCGTAAAAAACCTAACCTTAAAAAAATTAGAACTTAAAATGTAATAGGAAATATACAAAAAATAATTAGACCAGCGTATTTGGCGTCCTTAAAAACCCCGAAATACCAAATTTCATAAAAATATTTCCCACCGTTTGGAAATTTTCGTTAAAATTCTATTTCAAAAATTTTATTTTGTCGTTCTGTATCTCGAAAACAAGAGGAGATATACATGTAGTTCATACGACAAAAAATTGCAATTTTTGTCGTACTATCACCCCCTGAACTTACGGGAGGTCTTTCTGAAACACCCTGTATAAAACGGTTCAAGAAAGTGTATATTTTTTCATGGAAGAGCAGGAAATTAAGTTTTTATTTTTTAATTAAATTAACAAACATGTTCACAGATATTTGATGATATATGATCAGAAAAATTCAAATGTAAATATTTCCTCTCGATGGCGATGATGTGTCTACATATTTGCCTTTATCCGTGGTTGCCCCTGATCAGAATTGGCTTAGATAATTGTATACTGCGCAAATATTGAAACTAGCTACCAATGAAGTGGAAATTTAGATTGACGTACATTCACTATCATGGATTTAATTGATATTGGAATTGCCTTTCAACTATATCTTTTGTATTTACCCTTTTTGTAAAAAAATAGATTATTGTCATATGGGGGGTGCTTATGGACTTGGAGATTTATTTTTAATACGAGGTAAAAGTTGCCTAGAAAACAGTGCTCGCCTTTTTCGTATCAAAAAGTCTCTAGTGTATCGGTGTAGCTAAAATTATATTAACTGGGTGTTATTTTTATTAATTGTTAGTAATTTGTTACAGCAGGGCATAATTACAGTAATCACAAATTGCTGGAAATGATTTTGATATACAGCGAATGTAGGCAAAATGCTACAGCGAGTCGTGTTTGGGAATTTGCATTATTTGCTTTTTTTCCGACATTGCTATACTATAATAAGATTCCAGTTCCTTAGAAATAATGTCTAAATTTGCATACCTTGTACCTATTTATTTTTTTGTTTGTAGGCATGGAAGTATTTTTTGAATTAAGATTAAATGTTATGTTAAAGCTGACTCAAATAAATTCAAACAATGTTTTTTGTTACAAAAAAACTAATTCATCGCTGATATAATACATCGCTTGTATTGTACGTGTATCAACAAGAAAAAAAAAGATAATACATAAAATGTGAATTCTATTTAGCTGTAATGTTCATTTGCATTAAAATTGTTTGATATTTCTCCCAATCGGTCCTTCACCTTTGTTGGCTAAAATGTCACGGGGTGGTTTTTTATTATAATAGTGTCCTATTTTATCACATCAGAATTTTAATAATTTCAAATCCGTGTTTTCCATTTTCCCAACTTTCCCTTAATCCCTCAGTTAAAGATCATTCACCTTCAAGTTAATTAAAACCTAAAAAACACGCCTACTTTGTCAGCAAACAGTATTTATAATCACCAGGAAAAGACAATCAAAAATTTAGACAAGCGCAAAAGGGTAAATACATCAGCGTAAGTGGTCCATACACTACCGTCTCTAGCCTCGAATTGCTACCAATTAACATTGTATACACCTTTCACAAACTGTACCTCTACATATGTACATTTCTTTAACTGTGTGACAAATGACAACGAATTTACAGTTTTTTTCTAATTCTGTTAAATTAGGTAAAGATTATATTTAATTTAGGTTTATGCGTAAAATCAAAGGTAACACCACAGACAAAATAGCTATAAGCTATATTGTTTGTGATAACACGAACATATTATGAGTAAGTACCTAATAAAAACTGCCACAACGAAAAAAAAATTTGACCACCGAAACGAGCTATGTGGCTTTTAGAGAAGGTTGTTTTTCTGGAGCAATTTATTTTGACCAATAAGAGACCAGGTAACTCTATCATTATGACCTGTAAACTGGGGTTAATTTCTTTTTGTAAAATATGTATGTATTTTTTGTAACAAAATACAAATAATAAGATTTTTTGAGAACAGCTTTTAGGACTGAATTAACGAAGAATAAAAGACTGATATTTAATAGTAAAAGTTAATACTGCGGCTCTTTGCGGGAATTTCAGGACGCACAAATTGTATAGAATGAAATTAAACTTTAATAAATATAGGTGACTGAGATAGTCGAGGTATATGTGATATATTTTGCAAGGGGCAGAAAAAAATTTGTGCTCGATGTAGTTGTACTGAAATTTTAAATAAATTTAAGTAGGTTTTGGAAGCAATGCAGTCAGTGAATATTTTTTCCACGAAGATTACTTTTAGCGATGCTTCCAAAGTCGACGGGAATGCTGAATGTTTTGATGTTTAAAAATTAATAGAGTATATGAGAAAAGAGTTTTTAAATACATTAGACTAATTTTTTAAATATGAGAGCATAGTTAAAATTAAATAAATTCGTTTTGTAAACACGAAAACTATTGATACTACTTTATACTTTCATAATTTTTTTACGGGAGGAATCTACATTTACAAGCAAATTTTGAAATTGCAAATACTTGCATTTTTCAGACAGGTAATCAGTAATTTTCGTGATTTTTCTAATATGTGATATGTATCTAAATATTTTTGTTTTTTTGAAAATTATAACGAATTCTATTAAAATATTTGAGTATTTAAAATATGTTGAAAAATCAGGCCAAGAATCTAATACATAGTTCAGTAAGAGAAATATCTAATGTAACATAATTACCGTTGAATGTTTCTAAGAATGTTGTGCATGTCAATAAATGTATAAACGTTTTAATCATCAAATCCATGTTTTTAAAGAAAAGCATTACACTACTATAGGGTACACTGTATAGTCTTTCTCGGCAAAAACGGATACACTTGTCATTTTTACAACAAATCAAAATAACCGGTTATTGATTTTACAAAACTTGTTGAAATTCCAAATTATTACAATATTTGATTGAACAATGTACCATTGTAATAATACGAGTAATAATAAATCGTTGTTTAATAATTTTCGGTACTAACTTTTTATACTCTGGATGTCCAGTAACTGTGTTTGAATAAAAATAGTTAATTTTATTTATTATAAGTTGTTTTCTGTAGGTGTTGTTGCAAAGCAATTATACCTCTTAAAGATATGTAAACAAATGTAAATAAATTGATTTTTGTTAAGAACGTTTCTTAGGTAAATCCTTCATTATTCCACCTCTATAGCCAACAGTTGATTAAATACACAAATGTAGTTATAATATTTATTTTGGTAAATTGTTATATTAATTAGATCACCAAATAAAGTTTTAATTTTATCTTTTACCAATATGTAAACATATTCTGAGCAAAACATTATTATTATTATTATGATCTATAGCAAATATTTCTCAAGCTTGACATAAATATTTTATTGCACATCATATTTCTTAGTCGATACAAAGTACATATTATTTCCTGCTTCTCACAAGACAACTGTTCCTGGTTCTGCTGTAAGCATTACTATTGCTACAACAACAATTATTGAACAATGAAGAAGGCAGCAATGGTGAATAATATTGGTAATTATTATACACGAAGTAGATCCAAACGATCCTTCTTGTGGCAAAATCTATTTCCAATAATGGCCACAGTAGGAAGCATTTCCAATTAACTTATTTTCCTGCAAAATAAATATTTATTGTTAAAGAAAACATTTGAATAACCTTCAGAACAAAAAAATAGTAACCAGGTACCTAGGAAATGTCTTTGAAACAAATAAGACTGTTTTACCCTTTTATCCCTTCTGTTGCACCCCATGTACATCCTCCTGGTGTAATTATTCATTGTTGCTATGTAACATGGCAGTTCATTCTTATTTATATTGGTGGATTCTGAGTTATAAATGATTTCTTGAGGTTCTGGTGACCTGTGATCCAAATCCGATCTGCTACAGGTATCTTCCCCGTTTATAGCAATGAAGAGTAAGTTTGTGTTTGGTATCCTATCCACCACAAACGGCCTAAAGCACGAAACCACAAACTTTCAATAAAAAGTGAAAATATGACAGGCTTCTGTCAGCAATTCATCCACGAAAACATGGATATAACAGTATTGATACTTACCAGTCGCAGTCAAATTTAGTTGTCGCTTCAGTGAAGGGGTCATACGGGAAACTTTTACTCTCGTTTAAATTATACAACCACATTTCGTGGTCACATGGCGTTGGAAAAGTTTTGTTTATCGCCAATTTCTCAAACGCTTTCGTATCTCTCTTAATACTTTGATAAACTGCCAAAGATAACGCATTACAAAAACATCGCCAGATTTTCGTTCTACTTACATTTTTGTTCTACCTCCTCAGTGTCATTATCTGGCGGTGGTGGCATCTTCTGACAAATGGCTTGGTAGTCGTACATCCTTTTCTGTATGTAGACATGTTCTTCCGTCAGTCGAGACATGATGTACGGTCTTATATCTCCTATGTACCTGCCTATGAACTCTGGTTCGTCGCTTAGAACTACGTAACCGTTGTTGTCGAGTATGAAGCAATCCAAGAAATTCGATTCGCAGGTGTATTCGCATGTCTTGTTGTCCAGGTCTATACACTGCGAAAAAAGTCTTTGAGAATTGTATTATAAGATCGGGAAGTTTCGTATAAAAAGAGAACAATTTGCCTTTCTTCTATTTATGTTAGAAAAATACCTGTTTTGTAGTAATGTTGTACAATTCATACATGGCTCTGTGGTTAAATTGCAAGCCAACAACTGCGACTGGGGTCTTCATATCATCTTTTTCCACAAATATTGCCTTAGTACTAGTTATCATCGTATTGTCTTCATATCCTAAAATATGTGTTTGGCAAGATTTTAAAAATATGTAGCTAGTTGAAAATTTAAGTCCATGGCAATACAAATAATACTTCCCAAAACTACATTGTAAAATATAAAATTAGTTACCTGATGTTTGGAAAGGAACAGAGTATATGAATATAGTCTCGTTACTGAAGTTCATTTCAACAGCCCTCCTATACCAATCCTCGTCAATAGTTTGACTATTTCTATCTTCAAAACTCCCCTCGCCATCTTCGATAACGTCTTTAAGAGTCTGCCATCGAAACAGACCCGAGTAAGTAGCAAGAAATACTTTATGAGCAATGTATTTGGATGTAAATCTGAAACAGTATAAATCAAACGTCACCAGAAAAACATTTCAATAAATTATAAGTTTTTCTTGTCCAACATCAAATTACAGCCACATAATGAAGAAATATTCTATGTTGAGTAGAATGTATTGTAGGACATTGAAATGCAAAATCATCAAGTGGACCAATGCAGTTGTAGAATATCCCCATACCTACAGGTGTTCTGGAGATCTTGCTCCTACCTACCATCACGAAACATTTTCATTCAAGGAAAGACTAGGATCGTATTTTACAGACTACAACTGGGATACCCACCAATTGCCCGGAGGCATAGTGGAGTATATCAAAAGTTCTACAATGAGTTAAAAGTATCTTCCATTTTAAGAATGCCAGTCGACCACTTGTCTTCAAGGTACAGCCTCCAAGAAAACTTCAAGGAAGGAAGGACTGGAATAAGGAAAACCCTATTAAAACTGGAGTAGAAATTAAATAAAGGAAAAGGAAAACCCCATTAGTCTAGGAATGTATGTCTTCTGGTGGAGGTGATAGCCATTGAACAATCGAAGTTGGTAGTTAAGAGGCAATCATCATCAGGTCATACCAGATCAGTTCCAGGTTTGTATGAAGCAGTGAGTTAGAAATAGCAGGCTCATCTACTGTCCTGTGGAAATTAAAATCTTACCTTGGCATTCGGAGATGTGTTTCCTGCAGAAATGTCTGAGACATGGTTGCAAGAAACCCTCTAAACTGAAACAATCGAAGAAGACAATGGAAGGAGTTAACCAAACTGCTGTACCAAAGTTGTGGATCAACAAGGATAACAGCTAGAACTGCTGACAGGATTAGATCAAATATTTGTGTAACAATGGCTTAAAAAAAAGACAGGTCCGCCAGGGGTAAGGAAGAGTGTACTATTTACTATTCGGGAGAGAAAACCGAAAGCTGATAACTATATGAAGGAGGAAGTTGTCAAATTGAGGAGACACCATTTACAGTCCAGAATCCTCTGGATTCTTCTTATTTATCGGTTCACTATTTTCTAAAATGATAATAAATGATGCCTTACTTATCCTCTGTGTCTATTTTTTCGTCAAACCATTTGGTGGCTTCTAAATCGTAGAGAAATGAACTCAGCAGTTCCGCTGTAAGGTTAATGTAATTAATCTTTGATTACATAATTATTGCATACTTCTTACATTTGTTTTCCCAAGCAAAAGCAGTTTCGATCTTTTTCTCGTTAGTACCATCTTTACAGGTTTTGCAGTAGATCCTAAAAAGAAAAAACAGGCATATGTTTGTTTTGAAATTGTTAAAACTAAGCTAATATGAACCAATAATAGAAGTGAATCTATAAGTCAATAATAATAGTGGTTTACCAGTCTGGATGGGCTTTCCAGCTTTTAATCATTACGGAATTGTAGCTGACATGCCACGGTGGTACCTCTAAAGCAGATTTATTTACTTTCACGAAACCGTATTTGTCAGGAAGAACTATTCCTAAAGTGAATGGACCTATGGCAGCATAAAAGTAGTGGCGTTTCGCCAGCATCAAACGTTTCTAAAAATGAAACAGGTTGTGTCACAAGTTTTCCTTTTTACTATCCTATAATTCCTAAAGGTAATTGAAATAATATTAAACTATCCTCTGTTAATTTTAATAAGTCGAATTGAGGGTACCCTGTATCAATTCCATCTTATTTCCCACTTACCATATCATTCAAAGAATACTTGACATCTAATGTAACAGGACTAAATTCTTTTTGGTTAACCAACTTCTCTCGTAACTGGAATATAGAAAACAACAGTAAGTGGTAACAGTTAGTGCTCGAAATTATTTTGTACCTTAACTATAGACTCTCCGAACATTCTAGGATTTCTATCGTCGTCTAATATTTCAACCTCTACAAAATCTACTCTGTTAAATGTCGGTTTTAGTATCTTCTTGAACTGAAGCAAACACAATCACACACTAATTAAAAAATATATATTTTACACTTACTTGGGTGCGATGATCAGGATGCAATAAGATGTATCCGTTATTTGTTACAATAAAGGCATAGCCATTGACACCGAGCTGAAAACAGTCTTTTTAGATACATACACCTTCATGATATGCGGGTTGATTTGTTCTTACTTACTTTGTCGAAAGGAATTTGAGCTTTGAAGAGTTTGATTGGCACATCAACACCAGCAACACCAATTAGCTCTACCTAAAACACAGTCATGTCTCAAATATGTATTACAATGTTATGGAAAACTTTATACAAAACACTTGTATGATAATTTCTTTATAAACATCACTGACCTCATCATCTCTTCTACCATATACCGGTAAGGATACTGTAGTCATGTACTTATATTTCATTTCTTTCTCATATTTTTCGTAACTCTGGAAATTTATTTAGTTTTTTAGTTCTTTTTATACAGGGTGTTTTAGTTCGAGTGAATCAAACTTTGCTTTACAAGCCAATTCTGAATTATTTATTGAATTCTATTTGTGGTTAAAATTTGATTCACTCGAACTGAAACACCCTGTATAGAGAGAGAGAAAGACATGTACCTTAGAAGGTCAAAGTATCAGATGAAAAATTGCTATATGAGTATTGTTTTTAAAAAATAAACTTACATATGTATCTTGCAGTAGTACGTGGTTGGGACTGGTAAAAAAATCGGAAAATCTCATGGATTTCCTTTTCATGTGGTCTAGAAATATCTTCCTTTGTCTAATACCTTCGTATTTTTTCCATAGCCAGTTGGACAGTCGCCTGTCGGCAAGATCTACGTGTAAGTAGCTCCAGATGTACTTCCGGTTGGTTTTGTTATTTTTGTCATAATTAATTGGCCTCGACATTACGTTTAAGTAGTTTAACATTTTCTCCCTTATGTCTCCCATCACGGTTATATTGGCCCAATAACCTAAAAGAGTCTACTTCGATTTGAAAACAACGGAGATATAACGCAATTTTACCCATATTCGCGCAAGCAATCCACTCCAGTTCCCTTGCGTCAGAACTGGAATCACCAATTTGATAAGTAAAAATTCTCACGGGAAAGTTTTTCTCTTGATTGTGGATCTTGAATATGTCTGTGTCATACCAGTAATCGATTCCTTCGGTTATGATCATGATCGCTTGATTGCATCTAGCGCCTGAAGCAACTCAATGACATGCAAATTCATTTTGTGGTAATTGATGCAACTTACTAGTTGGCGTGTCTCTGAAGTTCTCCAAAATTTCGAAGGCTTTTCTAAAGCCGATTGACAGATCAGCAGCATTTTTCAATTCATACACCGGCAAGTTTTCTCTTAACAACCTTAGGTTTTCCTCGTTAGCCTGAAAGAAATCAATCATAATCATAAAATAAATGTTAACGATCCTAGTTCCAACATACTTGTACTAAAGTGTCGTTGAAACAGTCAACCAGTGGCTCAGTTGTATTAGTAAACGTGTAAACGTTCACAAAGTCATTATCGTTAAGCGTGTCAAGGATCTGGTTGACTATCTGCATCGATACTCCTCTTCGCTCGCCCCTCATAGACCCAGACCGATCCAGGAGTATTATGATGTCTTTAGGAGATGTGATCGCTTCTGTGTACCAAGTACGTGTACGGAAATCGTAGGATTTGTCGTATCTTTCGTCGGACCACTTAACAGCTGAAACATATGAAGACAATCAGTCAATGGATAATGAGTCAGTGGATAAACTAATGTCATCTTCTTTACCTGGAAAGTGACGCATAAATCCTCTAGGACTAGCGAAATATTGCCAAGTTAACGTAGGGTCATTCGCAAAATTGTCTTTGAAGACGAGGTCCAAAGGTTCCGACCATTTGAGTCCTTCCAAGATGATTTGCTCTAGAAGTACATACTTTTTGGAAAATACTGATGTGCAAGTTGTTGTTACTGACCTCTTTCATATACGTTTATGGCAATTTTCGCTATGCTCAGATTGGTGTTCACTTTATCGTCAAAGTTGTTATTGTCGTCCATTGGAAGATGCATGAATGATTCAGGTGGTCGGTACGTGTCTGGTAGATTACGAGGATCGCAGTCACAATCCTTGCCTCTTTCATTCTTCCGCCTTTGGAAAAGATTATCTCTGTAAATCTTGTTGGAAAATATGTTGTTAGGTAGATGTGTTAGGTTCATCTGGTAGCACATCCACTGGCATTCGAGCTGGAAATAATTACTTAAGGAACAGATTACACATTATGTAGTTCTTACATCTAGAACATAATCTGATATTTCTTCTTGCCTGTCGTAATTTTTCTCGTTATCGGTAATATTATCTGCGTCGAAGAAGTAGAAGGAGGAGTTGGCGAAAAGGCTGGTATTTTCTCTGTGGTAAGACAGAAATTCGGCATATTCCGAAATTTGCTAAAAAATAGAACAATAATCTACAAACGAACTAGTTTTTTCGGTTTTAGCTTACCTTTACCGCGGCAGCTTTGGTGTCCATCATGTCCTTTATGTCCCTAGCTATGTCTTGGACGACTACGGCACCATTAACTTTAATCAATTTGTTTTCCAAATCTTTGAAGCTCTTAAAAAGAAGTTAATGATCAATTACTTTTTTTCATGCTACATAAAAATGTTGATGCTTACTTTTGATTTGTCTGTTAAAATAATTTAATAGTCATTCTTAGGAATATTAAACCAAATTATAAATATAAACAAATAAGGTCGTACCTCTTCTACTTTATCTTCCCTTGTCATATTCCTACTCAAGTATGTAAGTTTTTCTCCAATTTCTTTAGCCCATATTTGAACCCTAAAAAGTGTTAAAGTACACTCTAAAAGATAAAATATTGTTTTTTTTAGTGTATCAGCTAAATGGAATAAATTCAATAATAAATAAATGGGGCGTGTTCGAAAAAACGCTCGGACACGTCGATTGGTATTTTCAGTCGCGCATTTTTTTCAACAAAAACTTTTTATACAGGGTGTGTCATATTGTTCGATTTTTGGATTCTTCAGAAAATTCTAGACAGAATTCATGTACAATGTCCTATACCTATCTTCAACTGTTTCGGAAATATAAAGTGTCTCAGATTTATTGCAAAAATTAACATTAAAAAAAGAAAATTATTTGATTACAGAAATTCGCTACAACACGCTCAAACAATAATAAGTAATACTGTTTATTTATTGATAATATAAAGCAAAAAAAACATTAATATCAATGTAGGAGATGTTCAAAATGCCCGTTGCGAACGTCTTGGCAACATCCTAATCTTAAATAGAAATTTCTTCTAACGTTACTCAACATCTCAAGCGTGACCGATCTAATCGCAAGCCTTATTCCTCTTCTTAAGTCAGCGAAGTCGAGGGGTTTAGTTTTGTATATAATATTTTGACATAACTCATAAGAAGTCTGATGGTGTCAGATCAGGGGATCGTGCTGGCCATTCCGTCGACTCTCGCCTCAAATTCAGTAAACTCACTACTTCTCCTAGGGCCTACATTATATATGAATTATTATTATTTGAAATAACCTAATTTTTTTATGCAGGGTACTTTTTTGGAACTATAAACCCTCGAGCCAATTCGAATGTTTTTGTTGTGATGGCACTGTTTTCTTTTGAGAAAAGACAATTTCTCTGTTTTGTCTTGTAATCTTTTTGTCTTTGCGCAATATTAACCCAAATGTAATTAAATGGTATGATAATCCTTTTGATCTTGGTCGCTGTATCACCTTTATCTTATCAAGAAGTTATCTTATGTCAGAAAATACATATAAAAATGACTAAAAAAAATTATAAAAGTACCTTGCGTCGCGAAGTGGAAACGTTTGCAGATTCACACGAAATTTTTTCTTACTTTTGGTTAGACATTTCCAATTTTGTTGGTACAATATTGCAACACCCTGTAGACTATATATGTTCTTATGATAAATAGGCGTATAGTATATACATCAAATTTTATCAGAAAGTACCTATTTAACAAAACATATATTTTGTTATCATGTAATAAGCTATTAATTATTTATTTATAAAGTAGTTGAGTTAATTACCAATTACCAATAAACATCAGAAAAATTAATGAACAGAACTTTTTGTGAACACCTGAGATTCGTACCGTACATCCTAGCATTGGTCTAAAAAAGGTGGGATATTTAACAGTTCATTGATTAACAGGTAAAGATAATATATTTTGGGTTAAAATCAGTTCAATTTGTAGGCATTGTATCGCTACAGATTCAAAATCAATATGAACGAGACAGTTTGGCGTCTCGCAGCATCCAACTTGAACCAAATTTTACTGAGAAACAACTAATTATTTGCTACATGATTTCAATACCTAGAATTACATATTTAATTTGTTCTAATTTTGTTTAACTAAATAGCTGCGAAACTACACAATTTTATTATTTAATTAACAATATATGTACTTACATGTGTTTGACTACTAGTTGTAGGGGCCTGCCTTTTTTAATTTTGCCTTCAACACTGCAAGAACACAAGAGAGAAATTACTATTGCTATTTCCAGTTTCATTTTGGATGTATTTTCTTTCGCGGTTCTTAGCTGTCTAAACGCATCTTTTCTAGAGATAGTTCAAAATGAAATGTCACGTTGCAAGATCTTGGACGCATGTGCTTAAGATTTGAACTCGTGCTCATACAGGATATTCACAAACTCCGACAAGACTTGTTGAGAATAAATAACACCAAAGCTGAATTGCCACAAATATTTTTTTGCAAATAGAACAACCTTTTTAACACCTATCGAGTTCACAAAATAATATGAAGAAAAAATTTTTGGAACCGCTGTAAGTTTGTAAACATCCATAATACTTACGGATTAGTAACGTTAGTTTTTAGTAATTCACTATTATTCTGGATTGTATGATTTACATCTGACTGATACAACCCATACAAATTTGTTAGGAAGACAATGAATAACATTACTTTCATTTTGAAATTCGTTTTGGAACCAAATATAGGTACTTTATGTATGTGCTTATCTTATCTTAGTTGATCAATAATTTTTGGAGCTTTATTAAAACGTTGTATTTGGATGGGGTGTAACATGTTTATCATGAAAGATAAAAGTAATCGTTAATCTAACGATGTAAAATTTGTATTTGACTTGCTGTTAAGTCAAGACATTTTAAATATTAATTTCCAGTTAAATACATAACTTAAAAGTGCGGGAGCATCATCTGTTAAATAATTTAAAAACAACCGTGCAAAGAGAATTTGTTACTTGTTTATAGAACTCTGAAATGCGGCAGCAAACTAACTTACCTTAGAATCCACAGTTGCTCCAGAGATGGCGGAAGCACCTCAAAAATTATAATTTCGCGTATTAGAAACTTTCAACTGGAAGCAGTACATTTTTTATAAGAATTAAGTAACTGTGGTCTAATGAAAAGTATCTAAATATAAACAGGAGTAGTGTACATTACAAAGTTTACCGAAAAATGAATCCTTTCTTTGAGCTTCCTAATAAAGATACAAAGCTAGGGAGCTTTAGGTAAACCTTTTGCTTTTAGAGAATTCTGTAATGCCGATAGCGTTGTTAAATCAGATTTTAACATATAGATGTCCCATCTCGTCTATTAGAACAAATTTATTTCATTTTGATTTTGTAAAGAGCAAATAGCGGATTGTTCAAGTTTTTATATGAAAGTACAGCAATATGCTACTATTGAAACTGACGCATATTATTAGTTTTTACATCAGATTAAGAACTGTGGATAAGTTACATAACATTGTACATTCCATTTAAATGCGAAAATATATAACAGCGGAAAAATTCAATTATCAACACTTTCACTTTCCAGTAAAAGTAAATAAGAACAGTAATATAACCATAACTTTGCAGTGTCGGTTCCAAAAGGTTTTTGCGTGTTATTCTAAATTTGGATTGAAGTGATTGTAATTTAAATTTAGAAATGCAAGCAGCGAACGGTCATTTGGCCAGATTTAAAAGGTAAACAAAAAAAATATGTGTAGGTAGACCTTAAACCTTTTAAAAACAACAGAAACGTAAAAATATCGAATTATTCATAAGAATGGGAGTTTTTGTATTCGCATTATTCACCCACTGACCATGCCGTCGCTTATGAAAATCGCATTACTTTGCTCCCTGGATATAATTAATAAGGGTTGTGTTTACACATTATTTGTTTTTTCTGAGTTGTCGCAGGTGAAACGTTTTATCTCTTACCCGTCTTTTTTATGGAAATTGCCCTGCAAGAGCACATGCTATTTTGATATTTTTTAATTTTGCCCCTGTATTAGATACAAAGTAAAATATTTTATGTACAGGGTGATTGTGAAGCTTTAATTGCATTGCAAAAATGAGTCAGGAATTCATTATTTATTCAAGATTGTATTCAAGAAGTATCAAACAAAATTTTTTCAAAAAAATCTAGAATTAGTAAGAAATATAAAAATGTCAAGGAAATTTTGACATTTACGGTTAATTAACTCAAGTTATCCACGATATATCCACGATAATTTGCATAATTGCGCAGCAAGCACTTCAAATTTAAACATTAAATTAAACATTTAACACTTCGGTGGCTGTTAAGTAATTGTTGAAACTGATGTTTATAAGCATAACAAATGAAAGTCATATGTGTTTGCTAAAGAGCAACTTCATAGACTTAAACGGTGTCTCAAGATTCCCGCAAGAAGTAATTTTGATAGAAAACACAAGTTTTTAGTAAAAAATTGTACATTTTTTATTGATTTATAAAATACGAGTCTATAGTATAGGGTTATATATGGAACAGCACATGGGTAAATAGCTTTCATGGTTTTGTTGGCATATAAGGAATCTTTTGCCGAAATTTTCCATGACCATTTTGCATATCAAGGCGGGGGGTCGTGTGCTCGTTGGCATAAAACTTAGACTTCAGAAAACTCAAAGAAAAAAGTCCAAAGGTCATGATTTGGGCATCAACAAAACGGGAAATTACACGACCAGTAAATGACTCACGCAGCAGTTGAATTGTCTCTCGGGCAGCTTTAGAGAAAATATACTACATTGTATGTATATCTCTGAGAAGACAAGAATTGGTTCACATATATTGTAAATAGAATGGGACCAAGAACTGTGCCCTGCGGCAGTCCATGTCTACCAATTTCAAAGTTACTAGTAAAATCGTATATTTTCAGACATTGCGTTCGACCAAACGAATAATTCTAGAACGGTCGTCCCCCATTATCTCTTATACCGATATCTTCAAGCTGATCAAACAGTATTTTGTGACTTACGGTATCGACGGTCTTTGCAGGTCTCTAAAAACACATAATGATTTATTACTTCAATCCGTAACAGTGTAAGCCTCGTTAGTCAATCAGAAATGAGCTTCTTGGATGGAAATTCACGAAGACCTTACTGCGAATATGAAACTAATAAATTTTACGAGTCTTATAACCTTTACATTTGTGATAACTGAAATTGATCTGCAGTTTATTATATTTTTGGCGCGCGCTCTCTCTCTAAAATTTTATTAATGATGTAACAAAATCGTTAACTTAAATTCTCTACAATTCTTTTTAAATCTTCTGCTGTCAAACCATCAATTCCGGCAAACTACGTTTTTTTTTTTAAATAAAAAATTTACTTTTGAACCTAATTAATGTTAGTAGGAAGCAAAAACTTAAAACGCTTCGATCATTTTGTCACAGTTGTTTGTGCAAGACTGTGACCCACTTTAGGAAAATATTGCAATATACTTGTTGTTATAAATTAAATTTCC